TACAAATAACAAATGGTGAGAATGGTAATAATGGTGGAGGAAAAGGAAACCTTCTACATTGCTAGTGGGAATGTAAACTGGTCGAGCCGCTATGGAAAACAGTACCAAGGTTCTTCATAAAACTAAAAATAGAACTACCATATGATCCAGCAATTCCACTCTTGGATACATATCCAGAAAAAAAACAAAAGCACTAATTCTAAAAGATACATGCACCCTAATGTTCATAGCAACACTATTTACAATAGCCAAGACATGGAAGCAACCTAAGCGTCCATCAACAGACAAAAGGATAAAGAAGATGCGGTATATATATACAATGGAATACTATTCAGCCATAAAAAAAATGAAATTCTGTCATTTGCAGAAACATGGCTGGACCTAGAGAATATTATGCTCAGTGAAATAAGTCAGAGAAAGACAAATGCTGTATGATATCACTTATATGTGGAATCTAAAAAATAAAACAAATGAATGTATATAGCAAAATACAAACAGACTCAGAGATACAGAAAACAAGCCAGTGGTTTCCAGTCGGGAAAGGGAAGGGGGGAGGGGCTTCTTCACTGATCATAATACTTTCAAGGTTCATCCATGTTGTAGCATGTATCAGTGCTTCATTCCTTTTTGTAGCCATGTCATATTTCATTTTATGGGTATACACCACATTTTGTTTATCCATTCCTCAGTCAATGACATTTCGACTGTTATGAACAATGCTGCTATAAGCATTTGTTTACAAGGTTTTGTGTGGACATATATTTTCATGTCTCTTGGGTGCACACCTATGAGTGGAATTGCTAGGTCATATGGTAACTCTATCAGTCAATTCATTTAAAAGACAGGAGATCCAAGTCCAGAGAGGAGAGATGACGTGCTCAAGGCAGGGACAGAAAGAAGTAAGGCTAACACCCACCCACCCCATCCTCTGATTCCAAGTCCAAGGCCCTTACTGCCATTTTTTTAGTGGTTCCATGTAGCCAGACTTGTAGCCTCAGGTCATGCAACAGACTGTTAGTGTAGTGCCAGCCCCTGAGGGTAACAGACAAGAGGGGAAAAGGCAAGGAATCCACATTTATTGAGCACCATCTGGTTCCCAGAATTATGCTAGACTGTAGCACTCTCAAAGTGAGAAAGGACATCACTTGCCCAAAATTGAATAGCAAGTGGATAGACGGATCTGGATCCAGGTGCATCTGACTTCAAAGCTTATGGTCATTCCACTGAACTATGCCCTCCTCTTCAAATATTTCATATTCTCAGTATTAATATTCTCAATATCTCAATCTTCTATATCCATTAATTCAGTTATTCATTCACTCATCTGTTCATTCATTCACCAAACATTCGCTGAGGTATTTATATGCCTCCTCTCTGTGGACGCAGAGATGGAATTGACTCTGCCCTCAAAGAAGGGAGAATAGAGGATGAGTTTCATGCGCTAAACCCTGTGCCGTGAATGATCTCATTTAATAAAGAGAATCTCAGTGGAATACCATTTCACACAAGTCAGACTGGCAAAAATTTCAGTTTGACAAGTATTGTTAAAGATGTCAAGTAAGGGGGTTGCCCATTCATTGGTGGTGGATGTGTAAACTGTAACAATTGTAGCTAATACATGGTGCCTACTTTGTGCCATAAAACACTTTATGCATAATGACTCATTTCATCCTCATAGCACCTAACACTTAACTGTGTTAAGTAAATACTATTATAATTTTTGTTCTGCAGATGAGGTAAAGGAGAAGGTTGACTTTCCATTAGACACAGCAGGTACATACAATGCCTAAGGCCCAGGACACTCTTAGGAGCCCAGGAAAAACATTTTAATTTTGAAATCAGAAGAAAAAAGAATGTAATCCAGACTAGCTTATGTTTGTCTTTATACCAACACAGATATAACATACAAGTTTAAATATACGTTTTGGAATGAAGGAGCCCACAAAGGTACAAATGCCAGGGCCCAGGAAAGCACTGGAGACCATGAGCGGTTAAAGAACTTACCCAAGAGGGACTTCCCTGGTGGTGCAGTGGTTAAGAATCTGCCTGCCAACGCAGGGGACACGGGTTCGATCCCTGGTCCGGGAAGATCCCACATGCCGCGGAGCAACTAAGCCCATGCACCACAACTACTGAGCTTACGCTCTAGAGTCCAAGAGCCACAACTACTGAGCCCATGTGCCACAACTACTGAAGCCTGCGCACCTAGAGCCCGTGCTCTGCAACAAGAGAAGCCACCGCAATGAGAAGTCTGCGCACCGCGAGGAAGAGTAGCCCCCACTCGACGCAACTAGAGAAAGCCTGCACACAGCAACGAAGACCCAATGCAGTGCTCACTTCAGCAGCACATATACTAAAATTGCAATGATACAGAGAAGATTAGTATGGCCCCTGTGCAAGGATGACACACAAATTCGTGAAGCGTTCCATATTTTTGAAAAACACAGGCAGAACACTCTATGACATAAATCACAGCAAGATCCTTTTTGACCCACTTCCTAGAGAAATGGAAATAAAAACAAAACTATACAAATGGGACCTAATGAAACTTCAAAGCTTTTGCACAGCAAAGCAAACCATAAACAAGACGAAAAGACAACCCTCAGAATGGGAGAAAATATTTGCAAATGAAGCAACTGAAAAAGGATTAATCTCCAAAATTTACAAGCAGCTCATGCAGCTCAATATCAAAAAAACAAACAACCCAATCCAAAAATGGACAGAAGACCTAAATAGACATTTCTCCAAAGAAGATATACAGGTTGCCAACAAACACATGAAAGAATGCTCAACATCATTAATCATGAGAGAAATGCAAATCAAAACTACAATGAGATATCATCTCACACCAGTCAAAATGGCCATCATCAAAAAAATCTACAAACAATAAATGCTGAAGAGGGTGGGGAGAAAAGGGAACTCTCTTGCACTGTCGGTGGGAATGTAAATTGTTACAGCCACTATGGAAAACAGTATGCAGGTTCCTTAAACTAAAAATAGAACTACCATACGACCCAGCAATCCCACTACTGGGCAAATACCCTGAGAAAACCATAATTCAAAAAGAGTCATGTACCACAATGTTCACTGTAGCACTATTTACAATAGCCAGGACATGGAAGTAACCTAAGTGCCCATTGACAGATGAATGGATAAAGAAGATGTGGCACATATATACAATGGAATATTACTCAGCCATAAAAAGAAACGAAATTGAGTTATTTGTAGTGAGGTGGATGGACCTAGAGTCTGTCATACAGAGTGAAGTAAGTCAGAAAGAGAAAAACAAATACCGTATGCTAACACATATATATGGAATCTAAAAAAAAGAAAATGGTCAGAAGAACCTAGGGGCCAGACAGGAATAAAGATGCAGACCTACTAGAGAATGGACTTGAGGACATGGGGAGGGGGAAGGGTAAGCTGGGACGAAGTGAGAGAGTGGTATGGACATATATACTCTACCAAATGTAAAATAGATAGCTAGTGGGAAGCAGCCGCATAGCACAGGGAGATCAGCTCGGTGCTTTGTGACCACCTAGAGGGGTGGGATAGGGAGGGTGGGAGGGAGGGAGATGCAAGAGGGAAGAGATATGGGGATATATGTATAGTTGATTCACTTTGTTATAAAGCAGAAACTAACACACCATAGTAAAGCAATTATACTCCAATAAAGATGTTAAAAAAAAAAAAAGACCCAACGTAGACCACAAATAAATAAATAAATAAATGTTCCTTTAAAAAAAACAGAACTTACCCAAGATTTCCCAGCTAGTAGGTGGTGGAGATACTATGATGAGCAGTTGGGTGATATCTACCAAATTGAAGATGGAAGTTGAAGATGTTCCTGTTGTTTGATCCCGCAACTCAACTCTCAGGTATATAACTTAGCGAAAACTCCCATCTGGGTTCAAGGAGATGTAAGCAAGAATTTTCATGGCAGTATCATTTGTAATAATCAAAAACTGGTTACATGCAAGTACCACCTCACACTGGTCAGAATGACCATCATTAAAAATCTACAAATAATGAATGCTGAAGAGGGTGTGGAGAGAAGGGGACCCTCCTACACGGTTGGTGGGAATCTAAATTGGTGCAGCCACTATGGAGAACAGTATGGAGGATCCTCAAAACACTAAAAATAGAATTACCATATGATTCAGCAATCCCACTCCTGGGCATAGATCCAGAGAAAACTCAAATTCGAAAAGATGCATGCACCCCTATGTTCATAGCAGCACTATTTACAATAGTCAAGACATGGAAGCCACCTAAACGTCCATTGACAGGTGATGGGATTAAGAAGTTGTGAGATATATATATTTCATTCTTTTTTATGGCTGAGTAGTATTCCATCACATATATATCCATCATATATCCATCACATATTCCATCATATATCTATGATGCAATACTATTCAGCCATAAAAGAGAATGAAATAACGCCATTTGCAGCAACATGGATGCAACTAGAGATGGTAATATTAAGGGAAGTAAGTAAGAGAAACACAAACATTATACAGTATCACTTACGTGAGGAATCTTAAAAACAGTACAAATGAACTTATTTACAAAACAGGAACAGACTCACAGACATAGAAAACAAACTTATGGTTACCATAGGGGAAATGTAGGGGGAGGGATAAATGGGGAGAAGGGATAAATTGGGAGTATGGGGTCAGCAGATGCACAGTACTATAGATAACCGGTAGCGCACTGGCCACGCATGTGTCTCTTGCTTCCACAGTGTTTGCACTGAACAGACCCAAGGGCGCCCCTTCCTCCAGACTCTGACCACCCTCCAAGCTTTCTTCCAGTCACAACCTTGGAATCACCCACTCAGCTCTCCTCGCCCTCCGGGACCAGCCAACACCATTTTCTGAGCTTAGCTCCTTACTGCCGACCAAGCACGAGCACCCAGATTCGTCACAATTACTCCGCCAGGTGGAGGCCGCAGTCACCCGCCTGGTAACGTGCATCTGCCGCTCTCCCACACCTACCTGTCTCTGCGCTTCTCTTCCGACCCGACGCAGCAGCTCGCGAGGGCGTGAGACATGGTTTCGCGAACTGGCCGAGGAGAAGCCGGACGGCCCGAGCTCACTGGAAAAGGCAAAAGCAGCGCTGTGGCCGCGCCCTCTTCCAGGACGTGCCGAAGCCGTCCCAGGAGCCGTGGGTAAAGCCCAGGACGCCGTGGAAGCCGCCCGGCTGACGGAGAAGAACCTGCGCCAGGCCCTGTGGGTCCGCAGGCCCTGGATTCTGCCCGCGCAGACTCCACCTCTGGACTTCCTGGAGCCACTTCCTGGATGAGCAGGTGAAACTCATCAAGAAGATGGGTGACCGCCTGACCAACCTCCGCAGGCTGCTCGGCCCCCAGGCTGGGCTGGGCGAGTGTCTCTTCCAAAGGCTCAGCCTCAGGCACCACTAGGAGCCCCTGGAGCCCAGCGGCCTGTGAGGAGCCCCTCTGGGGTCAGGGCTTCTGCCTGCAGGCTGTCCCTGCAGCCACTGGGCAGCTTGTTAACCGCCCTGGAGCCCTCTGCGAGCCCTGGGACAAAGGGAAACAATAAAGCTTTCTGCAGCAAAAAAAAAAAAAAAAAAAAAAAAAAGATAACCAACAAGGACCTACTGTATAGCACAGGGAACTATATTCAATATCTTGTAATAAATTATAACAGAAAAAAATGTTTAAAGGAATATTTCTATCCAAAAAGAATATATATGTATATATGCATATATATACGTATATCAGAATCACTTTGCTGTACACCTGAAACGAACACAATATTGTAAATCAACTATACTTCAATAAAAAGGAAAAAAATTGGAACCAACCCAATGTCCTTCAACAAGAGAATGAAAAAATGTACTATGGCATCATCACCAGTGGGCTATCACACCAGCATTGACAATGAGTGACTAGACTACAGGTATCCATGTTTACAAATATAAAAAACAATGTCGAGGGGGCAAAAAGCTAGAGAAGCTTACACTGAAATGATATCATTTATCCTAAATGTGTTAACATACGCAGAACAATATCATGTTGTATCAGATATGTAGCAAAATAGGAAGGCATGCGTGGGAATGATAAGCAGAAAATGCAAAATCTAATAACCTCAGGGGAGGGAGGGAGGAAAATGGATGGGGGGTACACAGAGGGCTTAGACTGCTTCTGTAAAGTTGTATGGTCTTCTAAGTTTATTAGTGAGGATAGGGAGCCATTTACATGATTCCAAATAATTTTTGTATACAGAAATGGTTCAAAATAAAATTAAGAAAAGACTCCCTAGGACTTCCCTGGTGGCACAGTGGTTAAGAATCCACCTGCCAGTGCAGGGGACCCATGTTCAATCCGGGAAGATCCCACATGCCGCTGAGCAACTAAGTCCATGCGCTACAAATACTGAACTCGTGTGCCACAACTACTGAGCCCACGCGCCTAGAGCCTGTGCTCCACAACAAGAGAAGCCACCCCAATGAGAAACCCGCGCACTGCAACAAAGAGTAACCCCTGCTCGCCACAACTAGAGAAAGCCCACCTGCAGCAACAAAGACCCAATGCAGCCAAAAGAAAAAAGAAAAAGAAGAATAAAAAAGACTCCCTAGGTTTATCAGTCAAGATACAATAGGTTCTGCTGCAGTAACAAACAACCCCAAAGCTCAGTGGCTTTAATCAAACAAATGATAATTTTAAATGCTATATATCCAAGGAAGATGAGCATCAGTTTCTGGCCACTGTAGATACATACTCTGGAATTCAGGCTGATGGAAACTTCACTTCACCCAACAGATCCCCACACACAGAACAGCCTGGATGGAAAGTGAACAGCTTGCAGGCTCTTATCTTGTGCTGAAGTTGACACACATTGGTTTCACTTATAGTTCATTGGGCAAAGGGAATCACATGGCCACGTCTAACTGCAAAGGGAAATGCAATCTTAATCACGTTCCCATAAGGAGGAGAAACAGAGAATTTAGGAATGACCTTCATGTTTAGCATCTCCTACCCTGCCCTGACAAGAAAACAACTTAAGGTTGTTCCAAAGATCTTCCATATCTCTTTCTTATTAGGTTTTACAACCCTCTACACTTTTGTACATGAGAAAATGCAGGCACAGTCGAGAGAAGTATGTTGACCTCTCCAAGGTCACGCAGCCAGGCCATGAAATTAACAGTTGGAGGGCCAAGGCCTCAGCCCTGTCCTTGGTGCTGCCGAAAACCGCCAGTCTTTGGGCTCTTTCCTCCAAAAGAGCATTTCCCGGGACTTCCCTGGCGGTCCGGTAGTTAGGACTCCGCACTTCCACTGCAGGGGGCACGAGTTCATCCCTGGTCGGGAACTAAGATGCCGCATGCCGTTCCGCGTGGCTGAAAAAAAAGGCGTTTCCCAAACGTCACACCACCTAAGGTCTTTTGCAAATAAATCCCAGTATCACCAGTGTTGCCGTTTGCTGAGTATCTTTCTGCAAACGGACTTTAAACACCTTACATTCATAAACTTTGCCTCACTGGGTTATCACAAGCCATGCAGAGGAGGTGACCACAAAAACGTGTAACATGAAGGGAGAACAAAGGTTATTCAATTCTGGTCAGTGTCAACTGACTGCCAGAGCTTACTCATATAGGTTAAAAAGAGAAATTCGAATTAGTTCGCAGCCACCCAGTAACCCACGCAGGCTGTCTCCTGCGGGAAGTGACAGGCAACTAGGAAGAAATTCATCACTTTCTCCCCGGGGAGGGGGAGACCCGGCTCCTGGGAAGCCCCGGCCCGTCCTCCAGTGCGCCTGCGCCCAGGCGCTGACGCCAACCCAGGCCACGCCCCCTCCCGGAGCGACCGCGGGCCTCGGGGGCGGGGCCTGGGCACAAGATGGCCGCTGCGCGCCCGGAGCCCCGGAGTCCGAGCTCAGCGGCCCCGGAGCCGAGATCCCCGGAGCCTCCGGACCTGGTGCGGGCGAGGAAGGGGCCTGGGCGGGGAGCTCGAGGCGGGAGGAGGGCGCAGGGGTGGGCGGGGCCAGGGCGGGGCTTAGGGCTGGGCGGGGAAGGTATTTAGCGCTCCGGCCCTGGGGGCGGTGCTTCTCGGGGTGGGCGAGGGGTGGGGCTCAGCACGGAGCCTATGAGGGTGGAGGGGCGGGGCCTGAGTGGGGGTGGAGCCTGAGGAGGGGGTTGGGCGGAACATCTGAGCTGGTGATAGGTCCAGAGAGAGGAGTCCCAGGGATGAAGTTTGTCTAATTAGGGGGCGGAGCCTTCAGAGGGCGGGGCCTCAGAAATTCTAAGGTGGAAGGTTGGGAAGGTGACCCTGAAAGACAAAGGTGTGGGGTTATGGTTGGGGCATGCACGTTGGGGTGGGGGCATGATTCTGCAAGGGTCTGAGTGATGCGTCCTGATGCCCAGGGGAGGATTTGGGGGGAGAAATGACTGCTCCAGGTGACCTTGGAACCCCACTCAGGATGGGAGAGTATCTGAGGACAGCCATTCATTCAACAGACATTTACTCAGCTCCTACTTGGGCTAGACAGATGGAGAGGTGAATGAGACACATAAGCTGTATTCTTTTGCAGCTTGCAGTTGGGTAGGGAAGAGAGACAATAGACGAGACTTACTGTGTTACGTTCTATAAAAAAGAGTGAGCTGATAGAGTTGGGGGGTAGGGAAGCTAAATTTAGAAGAGAGAAGTCAGCTGTGTGCCGGCTTATATTTACACTAGGGTCAGAGAGATAAGCGGGAGCCAGATCATGATGGATAGTAGATGGCGTTTTTGGATTTTTAGAGCAGTTGGAATCATGGGAGGGTTTTGAGTGGGAAAATGACTGCCGTCTGATTTCCGTTTTCAAAAGGTCATTCGGGCTGCTTTGGGGAGGTGGGTTATAAGGGAGCAGGTGTAGGAACAGAGTCATTCAGAGGGTCAGGGGACTTGGCAAGAAATGATTGGCTTAATTGTAAGTGGGGTGGAGGAGAGAAATGGCTGGATCTGTGATATATTTTGGACAGGAGGGGAAGTCTTGGTGGTCATACGGCAGAATCTCAGAGGAAGGAGAGCCGAATCTAGAAATTAAGGGGCTCAGTATGTTACAGAGTGTGTTTTAGTAAGTGTGTTTAATAAGGCGTGTTGGGGAGGCCTTGAGGCAGAGTCCACAGGCTCCTTGTTTCTTCCCCCCCCCCCCCCCGCTTCACCCAGGTCCTGGTGCCTGATGATAGCCGCCCGGCCACCCCCCCGAGTGACCTCATCGAGATCCAGGTGGTGAAGGTGACGGACACCACGCTGGTACCTGAGCCCCCGGAGCCAGGTTCTCTCCACTGTGCCTTGTGCCCAGCTGTCTTCCGGCTGGTCTCCGAGCTGCTGTTCCACGAACACGGCCACCTGGCGGGGGCTGAGGGTGGTGGGCAGGGTGGGGACCCAAGCCGGTGTCATGTGTGTGGCCACAGCTGTCCAGGCCCCGCCAGCCTCCGTGCCCACTACAGCCTGCACACGGGAGAGCGGCCCTACCGCTGCCCGCTCTGCCCCCGGGCCTTCAAGGCCCTGGCACCTCTGCTGCGGCACCAGCACCGACACGGGGTGGAGCCGGGGACCTCTCAAAGGCCTCCGGAGGCGGCGGCGGCTCAAGAACAGCGGCCCGGGGTGCCCCAGGAGAGGTCGGAGGTGGTGATGGCTGCGGCGGCCGCAGGCGCGGCGGTGGGGAAGCCTTTCGCCTGCAGGTTCTGCGCCAAGCCGTTCCGCCGCTCCTCAGACATGCGAGACCACGAGCGGGTGCACACGGGCGAGCGGCCCTACCACTGCGGCGTGTGTGGCAAGGGCTTCACCCAGTCCTCGGTGCTCAGCGGCCACGCCCGCATCCACACTGGCGAACGCCCCTTCCGCTGCACCCTCTGCGATCGCACTTTCAACAACTCCTCCAACTTCCGAAAGCATCAGCGCACCCACTTCCACGGGCCGGGACCGGGGTTGGGAGACTCTGGAAGCCAGCTGGCATCGGGGGCCGACGGGTCAGGGAGTGGGTGTGGGGCAGGAAACACTCTGGAAGAGGGACGTGGGGAGACCGCCAAAGTGAAGGTGGAGATCGACCAGTAGTCTGGGAGAGCAGGAACGTGGGAGGTAGGCGGCAGGTTGCAGGGGAGGGGTGGGTGGGAAACGGAGGCAGGGGAGGAAGGGGAGAGGTTGGGGGAGAGGTGACATAAGAGCCCACGGAGATGGCAACGAGCGG